TGTGTGTGTGTGTGTGGTTAGTGTGTGTGTGTGTGTGTGTGTGTGTGTGTGTGTGTGTGGTTAGTGTGTGTGGTTAGTGTGTGTGTTTTATTTAAACCTGAGCAGCGAACAGAGAACAGTCATTTTACCAACAGCTGGACTTCAAGCTCGACGGAGCGTCGCGTCGTCACACACAGACCGGGTCGTGTTCGGGTCTCGGTTCTGTTGCGTTTCACAAACAACGCTCATCGTTTTGGTTCTTGAGTTTTAAATTTTAATTTAAACAAATCACAAAAGATGGATTTGATTGGAGGGAGTTGTGGCGCAGAGGTTAGAGAAGGTGGGCATGTGATCAAAAGGTTGCTGGTTCAACTCCCGGTACAGACAACATCAAAATGTGGGTGGAAAATGTGAAGCACCCACACCTGCCTCCACCCTCATCTGCCGTCCTCTGGACCCTTGAGCAAGGCCCTTAACCCCCACCATCTGCTCCACACAGAGGCTGTGGTTGATCAGGAAGAACATCTGGTGTAAAACATTTCCATGTGGTGACCCTGAAGAAGGAGCAGCCGAAAGAAAGAATAAATAAATTTAGATTTAAATCAACGCCTGAAATCAGCTGAACGGTGCTGCTCGCTGACACGGATCCAGGTCTCTGTATCAGACTCTGCGCAGAGACATTAGTGGGGTCTCAGACGGCGTGGGAGACCTCAGGCAGTGCATTATGGGTCGTCGTTTTTCCCTCTGCTCCGCTGCGCTTGTGATGTGTTTGTGCTAAAAGGGTGTAGATGAGTGTGTGTTCCTGTCTGGCTGTAATACGAGTTATTTAGTGTGGGCTTCTGCCTCTTTGCACATGCACTGTGTGTGTGTGTGTGTGTGTGTGTGTAAACCTGGGTGTGTGTGTGTGTGTGTGCGTGCGTGCGTGTGTGTGTGTGTGTGTAAACCTGAGTGTGTGTGTGTGCGTGCGTGTGTGTGTGTTCAGTGCCACATTGCTCAGATTCACAGTTAAAACCTCAGAGTCGGAGGCAGCAGGAGATGTTTGGTTGTTTCTTTGTTCCTACATGACAGATTTGTGTAGCGTGTGTGTGTGTGTGTGTGTGTGCGTGTGTGTGTGTGTGTGTGTGTGTGTGTGTGTGTGTGTGTGTGTGTG